CAATTCAGTTAAAGTTATTATAATATGGATTAAAAATTTCAATTTTGGTGAAAAGGTCTCAGAGCCCCATTTTCCTAGCAAACCTCCCGTATATCCTCCCATCCCTCAAGTTTCCGTTTTTACTATTTATCTTATTTGTCACACATATCTATTTGTCACGGTTAATGTTAGGGTGTTAGGGTTAATTAAGGGGAGGATACTCTGAAAAAAATATGTTTAGCTACTGATATTTACCCACTTGATTGGCAGTTTGTGTCGTACAAAAGGTAAGCTCAATTATTCAAATTCAAACAAAAAAACGAGACCAAAGTTAACAAGTTTGACCTAATGGCGTTTCCAAATTTAAGACGGATTTTTTCTTCCTTTCGAACACCAGAAGAAGAAAGACAAATATCTCGCTCAGCTTTTTTTAAGTTTGTAGGCTTTGTTATTTCCTGTATGGCTATTACTATGTTAGCCAACAGAAACAGAATGAAAACACTCAACTGAAAACATTTGGTAAAATTAAAAAAAGATTTTTCTTTTTTGCCAAATTTGATCCGAGTTAATTTACTCTCATTCTTTTTTTTTTTTTTTTATTCTAGTTCATGTAAAATATTGATTATATATTTGAGTAAAATCCCGAAATGGAAAAAGAAAAAGAAAAAAAAGAGCAAAATGAAAGTGTGCCAAATATTTACAAATAAAGTTTATGCGAAACTTTTAATCAGTATCGTACAAATACTATCTAAAAAAAAAAATTCTTTCATATCTTTAATAACATCCTTTATATCGTTACTATATAAATCACTCGGAACCTAAATGGTTATCATCTGAATCTTTGTCCGAATCTCTGTCTTCCGAAACTTTGTCATCTGAATCCCTATCATCTGATTCCCTGTCATCTGAACCTTTGTCATCCGAATCACTGTCATCCGAATCTTTATCTCTTGAGGCAGCGTCATCGCTTTCCTAAAAATTATTGATAATGATGGGTTCGATAAAATATAAAGCATATCAAAGAAAGTAAATGAAATATTACATACTGGTAAAGACCGGGTAGCACGAGAAACCCGACGACGTGCGGCATTAAAAATGCCTCTAGATGCGCGTGCTTTCCGGGTTTCTTTTACATCATCAGAGATGATGTTTTCAGCACTCATGGCTCTTAGTTCGGCTTCGAGTTCTCTGCGTTTTTTTACCTTCTTGCACTTTTCGAGTGTCGGACGCCCTAAATTAAGTTTATCAAACGATTAATTTTGATATGTATTAAAGATTAAAAGCTTTCAAACATCTTAACATTACCTTCAACGCCCAAATCTACAAGTATTTGTTTCAATTTGCGGATTTTACTAAGGTTTGTCTTACAATCTACCAATTCTTTTGCCCTAAAAGTTCTTATCATATTAATTCCTGCAAAAAAAAAATAAAAAAAAAAGATGTAGTATAATAAAGATGATCAATGAAAAATTCTCATACCAAGTCTTACGTACTCCACATTTATTAATTAATGATTTGAGATTTTTGATTTTTTTGTCTTCCTTTTCAACGTTCTATGAATAAAAATAATAAATTTAAATATACGAGAAAAAGTATATTTAATTCCATATATAATGTTAATTTACCCCTGCTTTATTATTTACTGTTTTAACAACGGTTTTAACAGCGGATTTACCAACGGGTTTACCAGCCTTGCGTTTCTTCTTTAGCGGCTCATCCTCAAGAGAGCTCAGATCATCATCGTCCTCGTCTTCAACAGCATCGATTGTTCTTTTTTGAGATGCTGAACTGTTTGACTCCTTATCAGCTTCGCCCGTTGACTCTGGATTATTATGTGATGCACTATCGTCTCCAGCTGACTCCGATGCCTTTTTCGATTCATCATCTTCCTTGATAGTATCAGATGATTCAGAGGTATCTTCTAGAAGATTCTCAAGAGCCATCATTGTCCCTCCATCCTCAACAACGTTGATTTTGCGTTGAGGTTGCCCCTCTTCCACCACCTTTTCTACAACCTTCTCTTTGGCTTTCTTTTTACTGCTAGGATCTTTATTCTCATGTAATGAATTA